GCCGCGCGTAGGCCGCGCCAGGTCGCAGCTGGCCGCCGGGTGGACGCCTTAGAGCTATGGTTGTGTTGCATCAACCTCGTAATGCCGGTCACTCACTCCTACAAGAAGCTACTAGGAGCTCGACCTTCGGGGGCAACACTACTGACTTTGGGTCGCCAGGTCACACGGGAGCCTTGGAAGGCTCGACGAGCAAGATCGCCCATGTAGTCTGTTGGCCGCCAACTCCCACGGAAGCCACGAAGAGATCATCTTTATAGAGGGGACCTCACAAAGAGAACTGATGAGGTTTTATCTGAATTGAAAGTAAAGTTGGTAGAGCTGCTTAGTCTGTTACCTCCCTGCATAGTCTTTGAGTTCATAAAAAATGGAAAGTATAAAGCGAGAACTTTTGTTTGTAAACCAACGAGAATTTAGCTTTTTGTAGCGATTCCCACAGACGGCGCCAAATGATGTAACCGTTCCTGGTCACGTATCAATTTTTTGGCTAAATACCTCGTTAGTGACGTCTGCTCCCAAGTGGCCTATGACTCAGAGGCTGAAGTGGAGCTCCCTAGTGGCGAGCTGTCTAGTGGCAAGCTACCTAGTGGCGAACTGCCTAGTGGTGAGCTGCCTGGTGGAGAATTGCCTTGTGGTGAGCTACCTTGATGAGCTACTTGGTGGTGAGTTACCTGGTGGCGAACTGCCTTGTGGTGAACTACCTAGTGACGAGCTGCCTAAGAGGTGTCGAGCTGCGTAGGAGGTGCCGAGCTGCCTATGAGGTGCCAAGCAGGTGCCGAACTGACCAAGTCCGGGCAAGTGCCGAGCTGGGCAGGTTAGTTGACGAGCTTCCTTGCACTTTAGACTCCTGCAATGAACCAAATGTCAAAGGACCCGGGGTGGCTAGACCGACAAGGTCGCTTCGATGCTTAAATCAGTACTCTCTTAGTAGACTGCGGGCTAAAAATCATAAAGTATGAGAGCTAGAATATGCTTACTTGCTCTCTTGCTCTCCCCATGTCATTGGGGTTGGTGCCTTTATATAGGCATTGTTTGGCGTGGGCTTCACGCACCATATCCGAGATTTCTGTGAGGTTTTCTAAGTGGTTCGAGATTCCCGGAGGCAACTTCCATGCACGTTGACCACCCTTTGGAACGTTCGATACATGGGCCAACTTCCAAGGATCGTGGGAGTGTTGGGATATAAGTGCCGAATTCGTCGACAAGCACGTCTTGTAAGTCGCTAGGTCGTGCTTGGACCAGGTTGCCAGCTCGTGCTTGTGCCAGGTTGCGCCTGTGCCAGGCCGCCAGGCCGCCAGGTGAGACACCATCAATTTTGCTATGGCAAGTTGTTGCCAAAGTAGTTTCGGGTGTCACCTAATTATTCTGAAGTGTCATATGTCACAATATCATTAGAGGGCCAAATCCGTTTTCATCAATAATTATTCAAAGAAATAAGAAAAGGATAAATTTGAGAATTTAAAAAATTTAAAACAATCGAATAAGAACTCCAAATTAATCAATGTAATTCTAATAGAGGGGGTATTTTTTGAGGGTAAATTATAAATTACCACCCGGGGACCCGGGGATAGGGACACTTATTTATTTATTTATTTTTTATTTAATATTGCTATTTGATTCATTATTTAAATAAATAATGCCGATTTGAATGGCGTTAAGATTGTAACAAGCCATGTTGATAGTTACGGTTAAATCCACCCTTAACCTAGAGGGTTGTAGCAGTATTTATCGGTTCATTTATTGCGCGTAAACCTGATTTGTTTGTGATGGCATAAGAAGATCAAAACCTTGATTGTGGTCCAGCACTATTTGGTCCAAATGATGGTCACAACGTGACCTATAAAAGGGTGCCCAACAAGCAGTATAGGATGATCGGCCATGGATAATTTTCTCGTTTGAATTTTTCTATCTATGGCTGAACGTACTGTGAGCTGACGTACGTATGAACAAGTGGTCAAACGAATTTAATTTTATCAGAATTTCATTGCTGAAATATCTGAATAATTTTGACCACCGAAATCGTCTATCTGTTGGAATTCATACGCTATCAATCGGTGCTGTAACCCACTGAAGTTTTGAAACTGCTATGTCATCGAAATGGCAGTCATTGTACAGTTGCGCCAATCTCTACTTTGTGTGGTGGGCCTCAACCCCGTTATTTTTTTGTGGCTTGGCGCTAACTATTTTTTAAATTACCAGTTTGTTGACGGGATCAAGAAACCTAAGCCGATTTGAATCCAACCGAACCAACGTCAATGCAAATTGCATATTGATCCGGTTCTTGATTGAACCGAGTAATTTAGTTATACAATTTGCTTGGGAATTGGGATCCTTGTAAACTTTTGATCACGTAGACAAATTGGTTATCATTAGTATTATTACTTTTAAGAGCTCTTTGTTTACTAATGGGCCTAGCCAAACCAACCCATTAATGTGTTGAGGATGCCGAGACTTGTTAAATCACGTTAAATCTTAACTGCTTGGGCCCAAAGGCGAGAAATTGAGAATTAATGAATTTAGTGTGTACCGTCAAGTGATTCCCTAATGCCCAAATGTACGGGATGACATCGTTGATGATGCATACTCAGTTGATACGGCAAATCTCGGTTCGTTTGACATTACTGCAATCCCTATGTTGGACGGAGATAATTATGCGGAATGGAGCGAAATGCTCAAGACTTAGACTTGTTGAAAGTGCATCTCAAAAAGAGATAGAGCACTTGGATGCATGGGAGAAGTCCAACTGAATCTACAAATCTGTTGTCAAAGCCCGTATAAACAAGAGGATAAGGGGTGCGATCCCTGAAAAGGACACTGTGGCTGAATACCTCACAGCCATCGAAGAACACTTTGTTGCCTCGGAAAATGTGGTCTCACAGACCTTGCTGAATAAGCTAGCTAATATGAGATTGGTTAACTCCAAATCTGTGAGAGACCACATTCTGGAGATGGACATAAGCGACAATAACAGCCTAGGTGCGACTGTCATAGACCCTTTTGGGGATATTACAGTTCTTGCTATTCACCGACTCTAATCGGTGTGTAGTTTTTTGGTGGTTCAATTGCATCAGATCTCAACTACCGTTTGGGGCAGCAGATCCCTATACAGAGGCTATGGCAATACGAGGTAAAATTTTTTTAGATACTGTTTTTTCTGAGCACCAATTCTCTATGGTTCGTGGAGGTTTGATAAGTGAGTGCGTGCCTACTAGTGGCCTATGGGTTGTTTTATCTTGGCGACCGATTTGCAATCATCCGGTTATACTGTAGGGGGCAAATGTGGTTTTAAGGAGAGTGACCAAGTGACACGACTCAGCCCTCATTTTCTCAGTTTCACAGTTATACAATACCACACTCTTGCAAATTCTCGGTTTAGAAAGCGATTACTGATAAGTTACATCTGCCTTCTTTATTACTTTACAACAAGTGCCATCCATGGCAAGTAAAGCCTATGACATATGTTTTTAGTTTTGTGTATGCTGATATTAGTGTAATTTGACTGAGAAATTTAGGGTCCGTTTGGTTCACAATTGGAATCCCTTGAAATTGGAATTTGAATGGTCTATTCCTCTCCCCTGTTTGGTTCAGATTGAAATCGGAATTGTCAGGATTGGCTGGAATGGATTCTCATTCGCAGGAGAGGGGGAGGGAATGATGATTCCCTCATATGGGACAATGCCATTCCACCAGGAAACTAAACAGTTAGAACCAGAATGGACCATCTTATAGCTATATGGCTTCAATCCTCTACAATGCAGTAGAAGGTTGTAGAATTCTCAGCATACAAGATCGTGCACACCTAACTTCTTATAGATATTAGAAAGATTCAAATAAGCAAATTTTCATCTTCAATTTTCATTCTTTTACTCACTTGATTTAACAGGGAAGTGGGTGGAGGGTTTAAAATTTCAGTTCAAATTTCTCAGAAGAACAAATATTAAGAAAAAAAAAATATGACAGTTTTCTATTCCCTGAATTTATGTTTGATTGAAGGAGTTTTCAGGAACGACAGATATATCTTGGGTTGCAAGTGCAGAATATCAACAAAATGAGATGTGCAAAGCTCATCTGCAGTCCCTTATGAGGTAAGACAACTGGGTATTATAGTTTAGTTCAGAGCATGACTCAGAGCTTACTTGATTTGATATCAACAGACGTCATCCATTGCTTACCTGAAGCGACCAGCTCTCCATTGTCTTTCCTTCTAACCTCGACCATCGTTGATGAAAGCTTCGCTTTGTGTCCCAACAATTTCGCTTCAATCTCCACTTCTTCCTGAAATCAATAGATTCGTAAAACACCTGAAGCCATTCTTAGCTTCTAGTAAACACAAGTAGCTTCCAATGCTTGCAAAGAAAACTAACATCGATCCGAACCGTAGAGAAGTAGGATATGCTGAAATCGACGGATACTTTGAGAACCCCATCAAGAGATGCTATAGCTGCAGATCCAACGATGTCGATTAGGGTTGCTATTGCTCCCGCTTGCCAATTGCCATTTCTGTCCTATACAGATGAGAGACAGAGAAAGTTCATCATTTTCCTTCATCGAAATTCAGAAGAAAATACATATAATTAAGTAAAGAAGGCGGAATTGGTGAAAGTGAAGGGATTAGTGTGAAGATGAACGAGAGGACTTACACACAGATGCTTCGGTACGGTGAAGTAGGCAAGGATCAAACCCTTCTGGAACCGTACAATCTGGAGGGTCTTAACTGACAATTTTTCGATCTCAAACCGACTCTGTGACAGACCTTCAATCCAGTTCCTGGCTTTCTGCAAAGTATCTTCCTTCATCGTCACCAACGTCTACTTGACTACTTGAGAAAAAGGGAAGCCTTCCCTGCGCGTCGCAATGGCCTTCGGATCCTCCACTTGACTACTTGAGACAAAGACCCCCGTATTAGGGTCAGTGTCTCAGCATATATATATATATATATGGGTGCTCTCTCCACTTAGAAAATGGAATCTACTCATGCGAGTAGATCCCACGTGCGAGCACCCATTTTCAGTAATTAATTACAGTAATTCATTATTAATTAATTATTAGTTAATAATAATCACTAATTAATTACTAACTAATAATAATTATTATTAATTAATTATAGTAATTAATAGTGATGTAGCGCAATCCGGTCACTCTTAATCGGTACTCACGTGGCTCCTGTAAGATACCTGATAAGAAGAAAGTTTCCCGAAGGAATTACCCGGCGGGAACACTCCGATGATTAAGTTAGTACTTGATAGGAGAAGCAAGGAGAAAGATGAAGGCTAAGAGTGAAGATAGCGCGTGTACCGAAGATGATGATCCCCCCCCCCCTTGATGCTAAATTCCTTATAGCAGAAATCTGTTACCTCTCGCCCATTGGCCTCTGGCAGGGCGGGTATAACTGCCACTGCCAACCTGCCGCAGCCGTTATTGGCAGAGCTAAGGTGGCACGCGTGGGGCCGTCATTGCTGGGTATGTGTCTGTCAGGTGTAGGACACCTTCTAAAGGTGGTAGGCACGACGCTGCCTGACGAGGGACACAACTGCTGTCACCAGATTTGTCGGGTACAACGGTCGGGCAGGAGATCTTCCTACCTTCCTTCATGCGGCTTGCCAATCTGCCACAAACTGGGGTGCTTCAGGGCAGATAGGTCCCTGCCTCGAAGCACCGAGGTGCTCCCTCCCAGGTGGGGAAAAGCTTGGCGTCCCTTAGGGGGGAGCTGGAGCTCTCCGAGCTAGGCGGGGGACTGACCCACCGAGGTATTATCCCTCGGCGATTTGACTGTCTTTGACTTGGCATTTCCTTCCCGTCGAGTCGAGATCATGCTGCTAGGCTGGACTGTTCACCAAGCCAAGTCATGCGCACGTGTTCTGGGTTCATGAGGTTCACCAAGCCAGGTCATGGCTCTGTTCGTGACTTCTGTCTGACCGTTTGCTTGAGGGTGTGCGACTGAAGTAAATTATGTCAGATTCCCATGTCTTGGCACCAATCTTGGAATTTGATGTCCTCGAACTGCTTGCCCTTGTCAGAAATCAATACCCGATGTAACCCGAAGCGGCATGCGATGTTCTTCCAAAAGAAGTTTTGGACGTTTCGGGCTGTGATTGTTACAAGGGGTTCAGCCTCTACCCACTTGGTGAAGTAATCCACTGCTACTACTAAGAACTTCTTCCCGCCCGTTGCTGGCGAGAATGGCCCGAGTAGGTCGATGCCCCATTGTGCAAAAGGCCACAGGCTGGTGAGATATTTGAGGTCGGCAATGGGTTGGTAGTCAATATTGGCGTGTTTCTGGCATTTGTCGCATTTGTAACGAGCTCAACAGCATCTGCCTTCATTGTTGGCCAATAATACCCCTGTCAAAGTGCTTTCTAAGCGAGGGCCCTGCCCCCCAAGAGCCCACCGCACAACCCCTCATGAGTGTCGCGGAGTACGAGCTCGGCTTCGATAGGTCGCAAGCAACGCAGGTAGGGGAGCGTGTAGAATCTCCAATACAGCCATTCGTCTATCATGACGTATTTGGCTGCCTGGCGCTGCACCCTTCTCGCTGCATTGCGACCTGTAGGGAGGGTCCCGTGTAGCAGGAAGCTCGCGAGCGGGTCAATCCAGCTCGGCTCTGCTTGAACGACAGGAGCGACCTCCCCTGCCCCCCCTGAGAATGCTAGGCCGAGGCAACTCGTCTATGTACACGGTTCTCATGGTGATGTCGCTGGCGCTGGCTGATCTGGACAGGGCGTCAGCCTTAGCGTTCTCCAACCTTGGGATTTTCCTTATAAAGTGTGACTGAAAGTTGAGCAAGGCCTCTCTACTTTGGCTAAGTAGGCGATCATGGTTGCTCGCGAGCTTCGTACTCGCCGGTGACCTGGTTGATCACGAGTTGGGAGTCGTTGTAGATGACGATGTGCTTGGCTTTTACTTCTCTGGCTAGAGCTAGTCCTGCTATCAACGCTTCGTACTCCGCTTCGTTGTTGGATGCCGCGAACTCAAAGCGTAGCGCGTACTCCAATTTCGTGCCACTTGGGTCGTGCAGAACCATTCCGGCTCCACTACCTTGTTGGTTCGAGGAGCCATCCACGTGAAGGATCCAGGGATCCTCATCCCAACTCGCGCTTGGCCGAACTAGGAGAGATGCTACACTAGCTGCTACCTCACGGGACTCAGACTCGACCGTCCTGGGAGCTTCGGGCTCACCCGAGCTGGGAGCCTTGTGCTCAACATGCCTGGGAACTTGGGAGCCGAACGTGCACTCGGCAATGAAATCTACTAAGGCTTAGGCCTTAATGGCAGTTCGCGGCTTGTACTGGAGGTCGTATTCGCTGAGCTCGACGATCCACTTCGTCAACCGACCAGAGACCTCGGGCTTGAGTAAGACTTGCCTCAAAGGTTTGTCGGTGAGGATAATAACAGTGTGAGACTGGAAGTACGGGCGGAGCTTTCGAGCTGCAATTACCAGTGCGTACGCTAGCTTTTCTATCTCTGGGTATCTGGTCTCTGCTCCCTGCAATACTTTACTAACATAATAGATGGGTCGTTGAACCCGATCTACTTCTTTGATTAGTACCGAACTGACCACTTTGTCGCTTGCCGAGAGGTACAGTTCTAAAATATCACCCTCCTTGGGTCGGGTTAGGGTCGGCACACTAGCGAGGTATTTTTTGAGCTAGTCAAACGCGAGCTGACAGTCTTGGGTCCATTCGAACCCTTTGCTTTTGATTGCCTTAAAGAATGGTAGACAGCGGTCCGCCGATTTGGACATGAAGCGGCTCAGGGCAGCTATGCGGCCATTTAACCTCTGAACCTCCTTCAACTTCCGGGGTGGTCTCATATCTAAGATGGCCTTAACCTTATCTGGGTTGGCCTCAATGCCATGCCGGTTAACAATGTATACTAGGAACTTGCCCGAGGTCACACCGAAAACACACTTGTTTGGGTTCAGTCTCATATTAAACTTGCACAAAATTTCAAAAATAGAATGCAAGTCTTGTATTAATTCGTGTGAAAATTGAGTTTTGATGACCATGTCGTCTACATAGCATTCTACCTTTCTACCAATTAATGGCACAAACAACTTATTTACAAGTCTTTGAAAAGTTGCCCCTATGTTTTTCAACCCGAAGTATAGACCGAACTCCGTGATAAAGGCATTCTTTTCTTCGTCCGTCGGGTCCATCTTGATTTGGTTATAGCCCGAATAGGCGTCTAAGAAACTCAGCAACTCGTGCCCTGAGGTCGCATCCACCAAACGGTCAATTCTGGGGAGCGGAAAGCAGTCTTTCGGGCAGGCTCAGTTTAGGTCGGTGTAGTCGACGCACATGCGCCACTTGCTGTTAACCTTCTTTACCAGAATGGGGTTGGCTACCCAGCTCGGGTAATGGACTTCTCTTATGAAGTTAGCTGCGAGGAGCTTCTTGACCTCCTCGTCGACCGCTTTCCACCGCTCCGGGGCTAGGTTGCGTTTCTTCTGTCTAACGGGCCTAACAGTTCGGATCGTACAGGTTCCTGGACGGAAGCGCCGATCTGAAGCGTCTGAGTTGGGTCTGCTGCCGAGGTCAGGACTGCAACTGTCTCTTCTGTGGGTGCGGCTCATTCTTCACCTCGCTCCGTAGGCCGCTCCAGTTTGTGATCGTCGGCCACCTTGGTCTTTCCCTTCAGGGCGGCGACATAGCACTTGCGGGACTCGAGCTGGTCGCCCCGCGCTACCCCAACACCGAAGTTTGTAGTGAACTTCATTGCCAAATGGTAAGTGGAGACCACTGCCCGTAGGATATGTGTGATCGGCCGAACTATTATCGCATTGTATGGGGAGGGGGTCGCGACCACCAGGAAGTCGTGGTTGAGTCTGGCTATGTAGGGCCATGTGCCAACTTCCACAGGTACTATTATTTTCCCAAGGGGCCGGACTTCTTTTCCGCTGAAGCCCACCAAAGGAGTGTTTGCAGGTTTTAGGCAACTTTTCCGCAACTGAAGCTGGTCGAATGCAGCTTTGAAAAGGATATCTGCCGAGCTGCCTGAGTCGACGAGTACGCGCCTGACCTTGAAGTCGTTGATCCTCAGCTTTATCACAAGTGTGTCATCATGGGGGTAGTGGACCCCTCACGCGTCATTTTCTATGAATAAAATTGGCTCTTCTGTGACTGCTTGGCCGGCCTACTGCTGGACTCGGGACCATCCTTACCGTGCTCCCCTTGCCGACCTGTTTTATTATTATTATTGTTGTTTTGTACAAAGTTCCTTAAATATCCGCGATGGATGAGTTCTTCAATCTCGTCGCAGAGATTTTTACAATTTTCGGTACTATGACCATGATCTTTGTGAAAGCTACAAAATAGATTCTTGTTTCTCTCATTGGGATTTCCCCTCAAATGGGGTGGCTATTTCACATACGGAGCGTCCTTAATTGCCATTAGGAATTCGGCCCGCTTCGTGTTTAGTGGGGTGTAATCAGTTCAGTCCGTTGCAGGAGCTCGGAATGACTGACCTGGCTTTGCCCCCCAAGCTGCATCCTTTTTCTTTCGGCTGTCCCCTTGACTGGAAGGCTCTCCTTCCCTCTTCCTCTTTTCAGGCGCGCTTTCGCCCTTCTGGTTGATCTCTTCCTCGGTGGCTATAAACCTGTTCGCGAGCTTAAGGAATTCGGTTATGGTCGTTGGTTGGTTGACGACCATGTGCCACTTGAACTCCTTATGCGTCACGTCTTTCTTGGCTGCTGCAAGGCGCACAACGAGGTCCAGGTGTGGTATCTGCATACAAGCGTCATTGAACCGCTTGATGTAACTTCAGATGGACTCTCCCTCTCTCTGCACTATGCTGAGGAGACTTTCTTCAGTTCGCGGACACCGCTTGCTAGTAACGAAGTGGGACGCGAAGGCTTGCGTGAACTGCGCCCAACTTCTTATCGATCCAGGTGCCAA